GATTAAATTTTAGGTTCTCCAAATTATAAGCTGCGTTTTATTTTGATATATCAATTTGGTTGCCACTTATGTTTATGATGGTTCTGATATAGCAATTTGATTAAATTTTAGGTGGCTAAGAAGTGTTGCACTGCTCCAGATTCCTTTTGTTTAAACCCTCTCAGGTTTTACAAGCTCTTGCTGGTTATTTTTCCGTCTTTTTTAGCATGCGTTTTTAATTATGTTTTTTTTTTTTTTTGGGTTGTGTCATTTGATTTAGTTCTTTTTTATTTTCATCTAGCAGTGATTGTCGTCCTGCACTCTAGCAACCATAAAGAACACAGCTTTAGGTACACTTACCCTCTGAAAATCTCAAGTTTAAGTCTTTATTGATTTTTGAGTGAAGTGTTTTATCGTTTTGTTGATTTGGCTGGTATGTTTTCATTTGTTTGATTAAAATTTAATTTGGGACATTGGGTATTTCTTGATTTGAATGATTTCTAAATATTGTTTCTCCCCCTGTTTATGATATGGATAACTGTAACTGGATAATATTATGAGCTCACGGCTATTCAATTTTTTTTCTGTGTCTTTTTGAACTTTCATAAGTCATTTGATTTTTCTTAATCAATATTTTGTTTAAGTCTTTACTTCTGCATAGTTATCAAATTTTGATGTAAGTTAGCTTATCTTTCCTTATTTATCTACATTACTTACACAAGATAGTATTGTTATATAACTGATGTCTGAGAAATTAATATTTTTACTTATTTAATCATTTATTTTAAGACTTGGTGATAACAATTTTTAACTCATACAAGTTATGTTTGGTTTAAGCAGAGATTTAATGGAAGACACAGAGATAACTCCCATCTCTGAGTTACGGCCGTATATAAAGGCTGAGAAAATCAAATCTCGCGTTTGTAGAATATGGAAATCAACAATTCCCGGAACTACTTAAAAATGCACATCTCTACACTGCATTTTGCTTGATGAGACGGTGAGAAAATATTGTTTTATTATTTTGATGAAGAATTATAACAAGAATGATTGACTAGCCAATTAATATTTTTGTTTATCATTCTTTGTAATATATTCAATAATGAATCTTAACTGTATACAGATAATCATAACACGTTGGCATATATTTTGTCATTAATTTTACATCATTATTTAATTGCGTATCCTATAATTTATTTAGATTGCAAGTAAACATACGAATTAAATATTTTTAGGTGAACTTCACACTTTGTTTAAACTTTTTTACATTTTTTCTGTTTCTTAATTTTTTAAGTGTTGGTTCAGCTGAGTTTATTATTTTCATTCATTGTATCTCTTTATCTCTTGAACAAAGTTGACATTCTTACAGGTGATATTATTATATATGTATCTATATATAGAGATTAAAAACACTAAAGTTTATTTTTGCCAAATTATTTTTCACAACATGCTTATAGTTACCTTTTGAATTGCAAGATGTCATTGGTCATCTCACTGCAATACAACATTTAGAGCCAAAACAGATTAATCAAAGGGTAGCATACAAGTGTGATATACACATTCAAAATGTCTAGTTATTCCTTTATTCTTACAAGCAATCTTTTGTAGCTTTATTTATTATTATTTTTTAACACGGGTTTGTGTAAATTGTTCAAATCTTTTCTGAAGACATGATTTTATTATATTCACTTCCTGTGACTTATCATATATCTTTGTTTTATACTTGATTAATTAATTTTCAAATATCTTAATAAATTAATTGTCAATCACTGTTATTAATTAACTTTCTCTTTTATTTTCAGCTGTTTAAAACTTTGTCCATTTTGATTAAAATCATGGTGCAGTAAGTGATTGTATCATATCATTCTGATACTTGGCATGTGCCCTTAAAACCATTTATCAATATTTTCTTTCTACTTTCTTATCATTTTTTTCAATGCACAGATAAAATTGTGATGAACAGTACTGATTGCTCACTTTTCTCTTTTGATCCAGACATCCCAGAAGTTAATGCATACGAGTTGGTGTAAGTATTTCTATAGCTTTTAACACAATTAAACTGTTCTAACTTTTGTAAAAGCAAAAGAAATATTAGTTTCATAAAATTATTCAAACAGTTTTACATTTTCAATCATACAGGTTTGTAAATTGTAATGAGCATGTGAAAATATTGGCCCCCTCCTCCAGACAAGTAAATGAGGCCGAAATTTTACGCACAGCCAAGATGTTCACAATTGATGAAGTCGCTTTTCTAGATCCTGATTTACACAAGGTATAAAATCTAATTACATGTTTTTAACTCATCTTAAAAACATATGACTGCATTTTTACATTTTTAATAAACATTGTATACGTAATTAGTATTCCTTGTACAAAACTAGTTCAAACTGTTTCGCAGAATGATACGTTTTTCTGTAAAGCGTGTGTCAAGTTTTTGGACACACGTCATCAATGGTGGTATAGTGCGTGTCCCAACTGTGTAAAACAAATGCATAAAGACTTAACAACTGGACAACTTATCTGCCAAAAGCATCCAAACCAAATTCCAACTCCTTGGTAATGTTTAACATGCATTCCTCAAACTTTGTCATAAATTGCTTTGAATATTTGTTATCCTTATATTTTTTCATTCTTTATATAATCTAACATTTACCAAAAAATTCTAAAGAAAAAATTGTAACCTTTCCTGCTTTCACATTATTTAAACAACTTTCAAATACTATGTGTTCAACAATTAAATCATTGTTCAAAACATACTCATTGCAGCACAGATTTACCCTTTTTGTACAAAATTGGTATAGTTTTTGCACTTTTGACCATGTTATCTTCATTACTTAAAGACTAAAATATGCTTCTTTTCGTTTACACTTGGTCAAATAGTTGTTCCAGTATTGGTTATGATTGGTCTTCACATATAATCTACTTTTCTCACACTTTAATATGGCTATCATAAATCCAGACTATTAATAAACTTAATAACCATGCATTTCGTTGTAGATTTAAGTTAAAAACAAACACTGCTCTTTCTGGTTTTAACAATGTTTTCTTCTGTTTTATTTTTATTTGTATAAGTTGAATTCGAGATTATTTTCCCTCATGCAGTTTCGTTTTTTCAATCTAGCTATAAAGTCAATTTGGTTCTTGAGGATCACACCAATGAAATCAATGCTCTCGTAATTGGAAAATCTGGTGAAAAGCTTTTTGGTGTGCCATGTACAGACTTAGTACTGAATCAAATATTAGTTGACCAACAACAGTTACCAAATGAGTTTCTAAGGCTGATCCGGCAAAAAAAAAATATTTCATCTGCGATTTGGTAACAGAAAAAGCAAATTTAGTTCAACTGATATCCTTATTTGCAATGTCTCTGAGGATACCTCCATTGAGCCAATCACTCCACAACTGTTGTCCAGAGAAATTAGTCTCTTCAACCACCATGTCATCCTCTGCTTCAATGCCTGAAACAAGTGGATCATTATATAAACGAAAGCGAGAATCCATCAGGAATGCTCTTTTTACCACTGGTGAACACAGGTTTCTTTCATATTTCCCTTTCTAATTACCATTTTTAAATCATTACGTAACCATCTATTCTAACACTCAATTCCTATTTAAAACAGTGAACTAGAAGAAATATCAGAGGTTGATACAGAAGAATTTGATAAGGTTCCTATCAAATCATTGAAAAAAAAAAAATCTGTCTCCGATTGATACAAAAACTGCCGCCACCCAGCCAAAAAAATACTAGGTAAATATACTCCTTAACTTTCTCCTTTCTCTGAGTCTAAATTTATTGAAAACCAAATTGAACAGTTATTTAAATATATTTTGTTTTCTTTTCTGCCACTAGGTTGTTTTGACAATGTAGAACCAAAACATCATCTGCCCTCAAAAATATACAGCATGGTTCATCAGCATTTGTAAAAATCTCTTCCGGATGTTTTATTGTGACAGCCCGTCCCGAAAATATCGAAAACGTACTCGTGAAAAGACTGTTTTGCCCCTAGTTCGATTTTGTTACGTAATTGGGTTGTTTTTGTGTGTGTGTTGGCATGTTTTGGGCCACACACTCACACCCTCACTCTCCCTATCCCTCTGTCCCTTTCCCTGCTCTTTGTCCCGAGCCTCTCTCTCCCTTCCCATTCACCATACGTACGGACACACACACATAACTCGCTAAATCCCCACAGATCGAAGGAACTGAGTATACATTCGAACTCGTGAGGCTCGTGGGAGTCCAGTCGTACCATTTTCAGGTAAGAACTACAATGTTTTCACGTCGATTTCACAATGGTCGATTTGGGGGTACTATTCATGCAAACGTAATTTCTTACATTTTAGGGGAAATGAAGCTCGTAGGTAGCTTGGTGAGGTCCCAAGGAGTCTCGGAGTAGTTCGTTTGAAGGATTTGGACGTCGGGATCGTTGGGTTCGAAGTTGGCCGGACTTGGATCGTTTTTGCAGGTGAGATTCCATGGTTTTTAGCCCTTAAAAGTTGTATGGCTGTGTTCTCCTAGTTCTAGGCTTCATTTTGGTATAAAAATCGTGAAATTTGGACGAAAAACGAGCGAGATATCAAAGTTTAAAAATTTCCCAATTTTTCGGCGCTGGCGATGGCGCCGGAGGCTCGCCGGAGAAGGTGACAGAATATTCTGTCAATTCTAACGGAATATTCCGTCAATTCTGACGAAATATTCCTGACGCCGTTAACGGAATCTGTCAAAACTAACGGAATATTTCTAACGGTGTCAGTTGATGTCGTCAGCGTGCCTACACGTGGCCGGCGCGTGGGGGTGCGTGCGACGGTGGAAATTTTTTTAAAAAATTTGGGTGTGATCCTGAGGTTGTGTAGAGCACGTTGGTATATTCAATTGTCCATTTTGAGCAATGTATGAGAAGTTATTACGAAAGGAAGGTTATGTGCTTTAAAATTAATGTTTTTATAGTATTTTCGCATATAGGTGAGACATATCCCGAGGACGAGCGTGGTCACTCGAGGCAGGGGGGCTACGACCCTTCCACATACCAGTGAGTGGGCTTTTGGTTTTCCGTATATGCCTATATACTTATAATTCCCAGAAATTTATATAAATGTTTATTAGTTATATGTCATTCCTTTATATTATTGGTTGTTATGCATGGCTAGTTGCATATATGTTTATTTATATATATTCATTTAGATGTTTATATATATATGGGTGCGGTGGATGCACAGGTAAGTGCCAGGTAAGCGTTATTTAATATTTGCATTAAATAGTGATTAGAGATGCTTAGAGAGCTCATAACATGTACCCCCGGTGTTAGTGCTCCCGCCCAGAGTAGGGCACAGTCATTCACGTGTTGTTCACCTCCCGCACCATACGCTCAGCTTGGATCCAAGTTAGGTGCACAGGCCTGTCGTACAGGCCACTTTAGGTGGTTCCGACTCGTAGGTGACCCGCGATTATTCGCACAGCCTTCACGTAATCGTAGCACTAGAGCGTTTATATGTATTACACCCAGGCCTGTCGTACAGACCACTTTAGGTGGTTCCGACTCGTGGGCAGGTTTAGTTATTGAGATTGAGATTTGAGCTCTAGATTCAGCCGTACAGGTCACTTAGGTGACTCCGGCTGCCAGTGATATGTTATTGATATGGTTGATACCTGAGCACTTGCATTTCATTCTGAGTTCCTGGCATGACATATTCTTGAGCATGGTTGACATATATATATTTACATGTGCCTATGTTTATTTTCTGAGAATTATACAGGTTTTACGGCGAGGGGTTAGAACTTATTTTGCTAAATGATTTTGAAAAACTTTATTTTTGCCCACTCACGCTTTTGTTTTGCGCCCCTCCAGGTTCTAGCTGTTCAGTTGGTTTGGTGGTTTCCCAGAGGGTTTTCTCGGCATTTCTGACAGACGATCACCAACGTATGTACACCTTCGGGTGCACTGTTGTAACGCTATTTTAATTTGGACTGCTTAGGGTTTTCTGCTCTGAATTTGTGTCTCACTTATGCTAGCACTTATTACTTCTAACTTATGTATGCTAGTTTTTATTTATTCGTACTTTTACATTACTACTTTATTAGCTTCCGCACTGTGCACATGGCTACGTCACTTCCACGTGACGGTCAGCACGTCCTGATCTCGGTCGGGGTGTGTCATTTATGGCATGTAAATAACTCTTTTTACTCAAACTTATCAATATTTTTGCATGTTCATACACCAGCACTTATTAATATTTTGTACATCATTGCTGATTCTGGTTTAAAACTACAACTACCAGACTATGCTAGATGACTAATATTTTTTTGCATGTACATAGACCCTGAAAAATAGATGTAATATTTACCAATGAAGTTGTCCGTATTTAACTGTATCTCTATAGTGTTTCTAATATCTTTGTAATCAATGGTATTAATATTCTGTTACCTGTTTTAAAACCCGCAGCAACGCACGGGCATAATACCTAGTAAGTACTAAATAACTCAAATAAATTACATTTTTTATTTTATTTTATTTTCCCTTAATGATTGTTATCGCTTACGATTGTCTACTGTCGGTGTATATTACTGTATATGCCACACAAGCAAATATAAAATACATTGGTCCATTTGGGCCGGCCTACCGGGCCATGGTGGATCCGGACGGCACCAACCCGTTATCCCTCCATCGTTGAGAGGGGAAGGTGATCGTTGCTCTGTGAAACCAACCTTACGCGGTGCCCTCTGCTCTAGGAACCGTGAAGCATGAGCCTTTGCCCAAACCCCGTGGCCCAACTCCCAGCTTGAAATGTTTATGCTTTGTGCAAGGTATATAAAGCGGTATGTACAACTACTGATGGTCAATGTGGGAGTTCTCCCATGACTTGCTCTTCCCTATATGGAAGCTCAAAACTGCGGCCATATCTAAATAAATTTGTAGTCTTATATACTAATTTTTAATATAAGGTTTATATTGCTGTGGAGAAACATTAAAATAAGAAAAAAATCGAGATTCAAAGCTTCTCTCTGACCATCAAACTCCCTGTGAAAACAACTCAAAACGATAAGTGGTGTTCAAATGATTTTGAAGTTAATGCTTCCTTTCCTAGCCTTTGTTTGATAGTTACATTTTTTTCTCATCATAATCTCACAGGGACACCTTTTTGTTTCCTTTAAGGTTTTGTGAAGTTTCAAGTTATGAGTGAAAGATATGGATTAAAGTTGCAGCGAGATAAAAAAAAAATGAGCATGCTCAAAAGTGTTTGCAGAAAAAATTTGCATTGGATCTACCTGGTATTATAGATGAAGGACACTAACGAAAGCAAGTAGAAGAGAAAAATGCAACAGCCGGCGGGGCTGAAACTATATATGTATTGTGTACATTAAAGTGAACAACACTTGGAATGAACAAAAGTTTGGTTAGATTCTTCAGGTTTGTACAACATTTGCTTTTGTTATATGATTCGGCCACACCAATTTTCGGGATTCGCAACGTTGAGCCGTATTGGGCAGCCACAAATAACCAAGCTAGTTCAGTACTTCAATAAATACATAACCAGAGCACCTGACTAACAAAGCCAGTAATACGTAGCATCCTTTTGTTTATTTTACGATTGCATCTGACTCTTAGGTTAGACTGTCTATGTACAACCCTCACCATTCGTAATTTTCCGTTTTGTTAAGATCCAAAAGTGTTCTATTCACGATGGCTTTCAAGACTTCTCATGATGTTAACTAGCAGCAAACATTAAGTTCTAGACAATTCCCAATGCAGAGTGATGCTACAAATGTCATTTTATCTCTTACATACATCACAATGCTTTCTACCAACAATTCCACAATCAGCAACAATTAACAATTCAATGATCCAAAGCGGTACAATATTAACATCTAACAACATTGATCAACCAATACGATCAAATGTCACCTCACAAAATTAATCGGGCCGATCTCCATAAAGATCTACCTCATTTCCTTACCTGGGTTCCAAAACAATGACATTGTAATCTCATTACAAACACAAGAATCCACCTTAAGCAATTGTATTCACAAGAATCTAGGATTCTAAACCAACTCAACGGAACCAAATAGGAAGTGGGATTCCGAACCAACTCAATGCATATGGTCCCCCAATGCAGATTAACCAGCAGGATCATAGGCATCTATTTAATAGTGTAGTTCTCGAATGTGAATTAACCAGGCACGATCAACTCAAACAAGTAACCAAGTAGGCAATGACCCCTTAACCAAGTGTAGTCACCCCTCGAATGCATATGGTTACCCCCCCCCCCCTCCCCCCCCCCCAAATGCAGATTAACCAGGCGGGACTATAGGCAAGCGTCCAATAGTTTGATCCCCAATGCAGATTAATCAAGCAAGACTACCCACAAAAGTAATGTGACCAAGTAGGTAGTGATCCACAATTATAGATTAACCAGGCAGAGTCACCCTTAGGATGCGTATGATCCCAATGTGGATTAACCAGGCAAGATCATCCATGTACCATTTGATACATGGTGCAATCTCATTATCACACATCACGCATCAACCATCATACATCATACATCATACATCATACATCATGCAAAATACATCACCCACGAGATTTTCATTGCAATAACATTCCCAGTTCATCACACACAATATATCATACGTCATACGTTATACATCATAACCAATTAACTAGTCACATAATAGACGATTTCTACTAAATGGTCTTCGACTCATTTCCTCACACTAACAATTGTGCATATCATTTATCTCATCTAGGAGCTGAATAAACCTGTAAATCCCAGTAAGGTGCCACTCACATGCAAACTGAGGTCTGATACCCCAGGTGGCCTGCTAACCAAAATAGGCCCATTAAGATCTATCGTATCTCTAGTAATGCTAACTTCAATTCTTAAGAATACTTCATAACATGTTGACCACAAGTCAACTCTTAGTTAACATGGTCAATGGTAGGGTCACAGCACTACGTAACCCAAATCCGAAAGATCAACAAATTAGATTTTTGATCCGCAAATTTCTAAGGTCGTCACGTCACTCCACAACAACATACTACAATTTCAAGACGAACGAGGGCCCTTTACGAAACAAGGGTCAAACGATGAAATCTTATCGGATGGACATTAAAATTGAGTTTAGGGCATCGAAATTAGCTTAGGAAAACAAAGTTAGCCCATCTGGCCCATGCGACATTGCATGCGGTGGTGGGCTGGTTAACCCTAGCAAGAATCCAGCCAAATCCAAAGCATGCTCAAAATACACAAAAACTTAGCAAACAACAAGGGGAGTAAGTTTTATACCTGGGCTAGAGCCTAGTTGTGGTTTGAAGGCAGTGAAAATCGCGCGCCACCGTCCAACGTCTAATAGATGATCCAAGACATGGGATTTGAAGTTGGTGTCGAGGCGAGTCCAACCTAGGTGGTGGTGACCATCACCGTTAAGAGAAATTGCTGGAAAGTGGTGAGAAACCGAAGGCTATCAAGGAAAAACTCAGCATGACCCATTGTGAACGGAGGCCTAGTGGAGTCAACTTTTGAGTGGGTTGTGATTAGGAGGCCGAGGACTATAGTTTGGTGGTGGTGGTGACAATTGATTCGCCGAAAAAAGATGTGAATCCACATCGAGAACTTTTTGTTCAACTTGGTCGCGTTGTCGGGTCAAGTCAACACACACGGATCAGCTTTCCAAAACAAGAAAAATTAAACTTTGAAAGGTCTAATTAATGAGTAATTACGAAAAATTAAACTTTGTAACTAACTACAATTTTAAATTAACGAAAAATAAAATTGGATTATCTATAAAGCGATTAATTATTTATATGCTCTCTTTATTAATTGCAATCTTATTATGCCTCTTAAACTTTATTTGTTTTGTTGGGAACCCAAATCGCTGCTGAATCAATTTTTATTTTTTTATTAATTACTTAATTCCCTCGACTTGTGTCTCACTTTTCTCCTTTGATTAATTATGTCAAAAAAATCCGAACCGTTTTATGAAAGGATCACGGTCAAATAATTCGATTCAAATCGTGTGATCACGCATTTTGATTAACTAAGTGATGAGAACCAAACAGTTCAACATCGGTTTAGTTCTACTAGTTCATCGGACAATCTAAGGAGGAGGCTATGACATGTTGGTTTTGCAACGGGAATGTGAGATTCGCATTCAAAATTTTAGATATGAGAAATTCTTAATCTAAGTAAATCTGAAATCAATTCACAATAGTCCTAGTCAATTGTGGTAACCATTTGAGTGGGGAAGAGCTTACATGAAATGAGGACATCAAAGTGACAGTGTCGCAAACTAGTCATGTTACGTCATGTTTGAAACTTAAAACATGTTGTGTTGTGTTATTGGTCTATTATGTCACCGTGTCCTCTTGGGGTTGTTGGTAAGTCCTCTGGAGTGAATGGGATGATGTGGCTGTTAGGGAGGGATATGCAACTAATATCTCATTGGACTGCTTCTGAAAGGGCTAGAATTACTTTCTAACGACCAAAATAGATTCTGACTACAATTGGTAAAAAAAAAAAAAATGTAGACCCTTTCGCCTATTTAACTACCCTCATAAACTTTTGAAAGGGCTGGAATTGCTTTTGAAGGGGATATGAAACTAATATGGACAATAAGTGAGCCATTTAATAGGATAATATCGTTATTTTCAGCATTTAGATAAGTCATGTGTAAATCAAATAGGACGGTGAGAATGTAATTGACGATTTGTAAAGATTTAGAGAATAATTGACCAAAATAAAAAAGTCATAATAAATCGAATGAAATTCTCAAAAAATCAAAAGCGGTTAATGATCATAATAGTGTTTTCTAAAATACACATGCTAAATGCCTTTTCAAGATGCACTTTTGAGTGATTTAATAAAAAAAAAAAAAAAAAAGCCACTTCTTGTAAGACCAACTCCACTCTTGGAGTAAGTTTCAAATTTTCCCTTCTATTCCAATCCCCCCCCCCCCCCCCCCCCCCCCCCCCCCCCCAATTTCATTCCAATCCTTGTTCTAAAATGGGGTTAAGTATTAGAACTTAAAAAA